CACAAGTTTTCGTATCGTTGCTTTAAAATGTACTTCGAGGTCTGAGTTCACAATGTCCGTTTATGTCTACATCTGTGCCAAGTGAAGCATACAGAAAATCAGTAACCCCGCATGTGGCTCAAGACTCTTAGAAGCAGGAACGGAAGTAAATTAATCTACTCAAATCATTTAAATATTATCTTATTAACAAATAAAGATCGCATCTATGATTAATTATCAATTGTCTTCATTATTCCTCATTTTACTATTGCATTTAAACTGCTATCATTACACTTTAAAAATCAAATACACTGTGACAGAGCATGCCACATCTGTTGTAGATTCTGCCCTCAAAATGAGGCAGAACTACTGGTTGATAGCATGGAAATGGAGATCACCTCTTCCCCTCTTAATTTCTTAACTTAACAATCTCTCTGACACCAAGTGAGTCGAACCTGTTCACCATCAGATTTTTGTTTGTAAGCATAACTTCAATTTCAAATGCTTGTCTTCTTAAACAGAACAACTCTTTAAGTAGTTTCCTGCTGACGGAAATGAACACATTCCATTTGAGTTTTTGAAATACTGATTCGATATATTCGATTTATTAAGCAAGTATGTACAGTAATCGAAACTGTAGACGACATCTAACTATAGTAAAAGGATACCAAAAGGCAACCTTTGCAGCGTATGTAATTATTTGATTGTCCTTCAAACTACAAGTCAACATCTGTGGTCACTCGAAGAGAGAACAGAAACAAGAAATGTGCGAGAATCAGCGCTATAATTTAGATTATGAAAATAACACTTTAGAATCGCGAGAAGACGCGAGTGAAGATACTGAGTGAAAATTTGAGCTGTACATAACGTTGTGCAAGTGAGCATTAATCATGAACTTCAGCAGTCACATGCTGATCTTGATTTTTGGTGTTTGAATAGGAGGATGGAGCAGAAATAAGTTCCAAAATAGACCTTTTCTATGAGTATTTCACATCAATGAAGACAAAAGAAAAAAATGTTAATGAGATAAAAACGCAACGCAACTTTCGTTTTGTGACTTGTCAGTACTTGGCAGACACCGAGTGTCGATTCCATTAAACAAACGAAAACAGCTTAAAATTAATCTGGCAAACGACGGACGTACAGATGACGTCTACAGATCTGAAAATCAATGCATCAGCGTCGTTAACAGAGGCGTAGCGAGGATGAGGGAGCCAATGAGAATGAATGCGAGTACACGTTGCATCTGAAAACGT